CAATGTGCGTCGGTCAGAGCCTGCTGGCCATTGCATTTGAAGGCTATTTCCCACTCCCAGCTTGACCGCCCACTCGGCCTGAAGTTGGCAACCGCATCCGAACACGGAGAGTTGTCAGACGGCTGACATGACATGGAAAAACAGCGTTAACCACATGTCCTTTGGAGTCTTAGGTGCCTGGTGTGAACGAAAGGACGACTGTATGCCTGTGTGCCGGGCAATCACTTGATTTGATGACCAACAGGAGCAGCCTGAGAAACATTTAGGCCACAGTAAAATGCAGTTTCATTTTTGTACAAAATTGTACTGCACTTACGCACAAACATACTTTCCCTCGCTTCAAGCCAGAAAGTTGTTGCATTTCAAGCAAATTAAGTTAATTAAAAAGTTGCAAGATTTGTGAAGTAATTACCATAAACAAGGCAACTGTGTGGCACGCTGCTGCTCCTGCGGTTCCTGATGCTGTTCTGGATGTTGTTACTGTTGCAGCTTTTGTTGCACTGAGAAAAATGATAGAATGGTATGATAATACAAAATAGATAAATTAAATGATAATCTAGTTGTAGGTTTGATAAAGAATTCACTCAGTTTAGAGAAAACCTAAGCGTTTATTAGCCATATTTTTAATAGAATAGAAATCATAATAGGCCCCTTGTCTTGACACTATTTTTCAATTATACAATACATTTTGCCAACAAGTTTCCTTGACATATTTCCCCCGTGTATCCGGGGTGTGGATAAAGTTGCCGGCATGGAATATAAACACTTCAAGTCGTTGCGCCTGATGCGCTCAGCCTGAGCTTCAAAAGACGCCCAGCACACGTGAGAAATTCCAACAGTTAAGTGGGTGGGAGTGGGTGGAATGGTTTGTAATGCCACTTGCTGAAGGCAGCTTCAAGGGTGCTCCAATCCAAAATTTTAAAACCTTTCACTGGCGAATGAAACAAAGGGAAAAAAGGGGAATTCTGCAAGCCAAAGACTGAATTCAGGAATGGATTCAAGAGATATGTCAGACGGCAGATGGCACTCCCAAACCAAAGGACTTTCATACATGTACGTGTGTAGGTATAACTTATAGGGGTGTGAGTGTGTAGGTTTAGGCCATGTGCAATAAGGAAAAATGAGCAACTGCAACTGCACACGCACTCGGTACTCAGGAGTTCAGGACTTCAGGATTTCAGAATTTCAGGACTCGGAACGGAGGCCCACGTCGCACGTCGTGAACAGGTACAAAACGGAGCCACAGGAATACATCTCGTGCTCCGTCAGGACCAAACTCAGGAAAGGATAACGCCTCCCCCACCGACCGCCTGGCCACCATTGACTCGACACTGGGTTTGTTATTGCCGACAGTTGCGGCCAGCGTTGGTGACACTTGAACATAACTGGGTTCTGTTTTCCGCTCCGCCTTTTGTGCAATGCCTGAGTGCACTGATTATGCACATGGGAGACACATGAAAGAGGCAGCGATGCGGCGGCGAAAGAGAGGGCGGATGGGCTCCCGAAGAATTCCAGGGAACTACAACAATGCGCGGTAAGATTTACAGCCTCTTGTCGGATTGCATTTGGCCGGTGCTCAGTACTCCTTGGCCAAGTCTCTGAAACTGGAGGACTTTATTTTGGTCATTTATTAAATATGAAAAATATAATTCAAGCTTTATTTATTTTTTAATAAGGGGATATTATCCTTTAAGGTTTAAAAAGGACTCTAATTTCCATGACAAAGTGTTTCTTGCTTAAACCTTTAACCCAAATCACTAGAATCGATGAAAGCTTATAGCTGATACTAAACTGCCAGTCATTATGGCTTGCAAATATAAGTTTTGTTTACAATTTGTTTGTTTATTTTTTGCTTCTACTGATAAGACTTTTGATATAAAAACCAGCGGGGCATCACACGGCTTCAGTTGTTAAATTGTTTGCTTCGAAGAAGCGTGAAAAATACAAAAATGATAATAAATGCTTGCCGGGTGCCTTTATCAAGTGGCTCTCTTCAAATTTTGAGAACAGCTTCAGTCCAGGCAACGGCTCAAGTTTATTCCAATGTAAGATTAAAACCTACTCACAATTAGAAATTCTTTAGAAATTAAAAATTAATTTATTGTTAGGCAACCGAAGCTAAACCCTATAGGGACATACCACGTCCTGGGAAACTGGAGTTCATGAGGGCATTTATGCCCGGCGGCGAGTTTCATGACATTTCCATTGTGGATTATGCCTCGGCGATGCGAAATCGTTATGGCGATATCTTCGTTATACCGGGAATGTTTGGCAAGAAGGATTGGGTCACCACATTCAGCACAAAGGACATCGAAATGGTGTTCCGGAAATGATGAGGGAATTTGGCCACAGCGAGACACCTTTGCTTCTCTGGTTCATTTTCGAACGAAAGTTAGACCGGATATTTACGGAGAAAGTATAGGCCTAGTAGTGTCGTAAGTTAAATTAAATATTTTTTAAACTAAAAAATAAGAATTTAAACCTTAGGCAAGAGGAGGAATGGGGAAAATTGCGTTCTGCCCTAAATCCCATTTTTATGCAGCCCAAAGGCCTAAAGGCTTACTATGAACCATTATCCCACATCAACAATGAGTTCATTGAAAGGTAGTACATATTTTTCTAAAATATCTAAAATACTTTAATTCATATTTTAAATACTTTAGAATCAAAGAGATACGAGATCCGAAAACCCTGGAAGTTCCTGAAGACTTTATGGAGGAAATCAATCGCTTGATTTTCGATTCGCTGGCGTTGGTGGCCTTTGACCGGCAAATGGGCTTGATACGAAAGAACCGAAATAATCCAGATGCCCTTACCATGTTCAGGATAACAAGGGATATTCTGAAGTATATCTTCAAGCTGGACGTCCAGCCATCGATGTGGCGAGTATTTCCAACGCCCACCTACAGAAAACTAATGCAATTGCTCAACGAAAGTGTGGAAGTGGCGCAGAAACTCCTGAAGGACACCCAGGACAAGCTAGAGGAGCGCCGCTTGGCAGGTGGAGAGATAAACAGCAACAGCATGCTGCAGCGGATGATGGCGGTGGATCCAAAAATGGCCACTGTCATGAGTTTGGATGTTCTGTTCGCAGGAGTGGACGCCACATCGACTACTCTGTCAGCCGTGCTTCTGTGCCTGGCCAAAAATCCAGTGAAGCAGGCTGAGCTGAGAAAGGAGCTCCTCAAGATCATGCCCACCAAGGACACGTCCCTCAATGAGGACACCATGAGGGATATGCCTTACCTGAGGGCTGTGATCAAGGAGGCTCTCCGGTATTATCCCAATGGTTTGGGGAACCTGAGAACCTGTCCCACCGATGTGACTCTTTCGGGCTATAACGTGCCCAAGGGCAGCACCATAGTCCTGGCCTCCAATGTCCTTATGCAGGACGATAGCTACTACCCTCAGGCTGATAAATTCCTTCCCGAACGTTGGCTCAGGAACCCCGAGACTGGCAAGAAAAATCCAATGAATCCGTTTAGCTTCTTGCCCTTTGGATTTGGACCTCGGATGTGCATCGGTAAGAGGTTGGTTGACTTGGAATTGGAGACGAGTGTGGCCAAGCTCATCAGGAACTTCCAGGTGGAGTTCAATCACGATGCCAGTCGTCCTTACAGGTCCTTCTTCCTAATGGAGCCCGCCATTCCCTTCAAGTTTAAGTTTACTGATCTCGAGAATTGAAAAATTATTATTAATTTTATAAAATAAACGAACATTTAAAAGCAATATACTCTGGTTGTGTGTTTTTGAGTCTAATTGGGAGTAAAAGCATATACTTTAAGGAGGAATAACTAAGATAGGTTATCCTTAACAAATGAGTTATTAGCCTAGGTAATGAAAAGAAATTCCTGTGAAATATTTAAACTGATTTTCCCAAAAGATAAGATTGTCTGAAGTGGCACGAGTTTGTTATCATTTTCACGCGACATCATTATCGATTCTTTCATCATCCTAATGTGACTTGAATGTGATTTGAATATGTAGAATAAAGATTAAAATAAATCAAAAAAGGTAATATAAGCATAAAGAAGATTAGACATATAAAGGATTTATCGACATAATTAATGAATTTGAAGTAGAGTTGAAAGTGAAAGAGGCTAAAAAGTAAAAGTGCTTTTAATCTTTAAACCCAAATATCACAACTCTAATAGCTCTATTAAATTTGAAATATATGCTACAATGACCCAAAGATTTTCCCACCAGATTAAACAGGTTTCCAGTGGCACGAGCCTTTTATAAATAACGCCAACCCGACTTTTGTTATCTCAACCAATATTCGACAAAATTGATGTTTAATTGTGAGCCCCACAACCCAAAGCCGAACAACATCGAAACCGGACTCGTAATGTTTAGTGGTTTTTGGCTGGGCGGGTTTGGAGTGGAGCACTGGGCTCTTCTGGCTATTTCCAGGTGGTGTTGGCCAATTTAGCCAATTGGAAAATGCAAATTTAATTAGCGGGTAATTTCGTAAAATTGGCGTAAAATTGAAAATTTTGTACTGGAAATTAATGTGTGTACATGACTTTTCTCTTTTTGGTTTTAGATCTACATTTCTCTTAGTTTGTTTGCATTTGGAAAACGAGCGAATAGTTCCTAAATTGTTTGCTTTTTATTAGAGAGTCTCATTTGCATAAAGTTTAGTATCTAGAATGATAAGTATCGAGAAAGATGATTGAGCTAAATTAGTTTAAGAGGCACTCTCTCTCGTGCCTCTATCTCTAGCATAAAGCTTTTTTTTTTAATTTTTAATAATTCTTGTAAAGCTTCTTTTTTGAAAATTATATTTTTTTAATTAAAGGGGTATCTGAAAATCTATAATACCGAGGAAACCAGTTTTGAAAAGCTCTACAGATCAGCTGGGCAGTGTTTTTTGCTGAGTAGGGCAGTCAAATCACGATGATAGGCCGTTTGTTTGATAAGAAACTGCAAATCATGCTTGGTTTGGCAGGTTTTGTTTGGGTTTGAAAGCTTTTAAATTTGCGGATCTCTCAGTTCTCCGCTTGTAGAACCTATTGCGCTTTAGAGATAAGACCTCTCTATAAAATAAAATGTGAGCAGCCTTATTGTGTTTAGTTTATATTCAGAACCAGTATGAACACCTTGCACACGACGCGCTGTCTAGCTATTTCCATAGGCCCGGCCCGATCATTAAGATCAGCCTCAGCCTTGGCACAAACTGAGGCCAAAGTCAATGTAAGTTGTGCTGAGTCCATCAACTTTAAACAATTTATGAAATTTTTGTTGTAACTCCAAGGTAACTGAGAGTGAAAAGCCGTTTAGCGAAATTCCTCGCCCGGGAAAGTTGAAGTTCATGCGGGCCTTCATGCCAGGCGGCGAGTTCTATAATGCCTCGGTTACCGAATATGCATCGATGATGCGAAAGCGGTATGGAGATGTCTATATTATGCCAGGAATGTTTGGCCGCAAGGACTGGGTCACCACTTTCAATACCAAGGATATAGAAATGGTATTCCGCAATGAGGGAATATGGCCACGACGCGATGGTCTTGAATCGATTGTATATTTCCGCAGACATGTCAGACCCGATGTTTATGGAGAAGTGCAGGGCTTAGTGGCATCGTAAGTTATTCATTAAGATTAGTTTTTCATAATATTATATAACGAAATTTCTAACTTTTTCCAGTCAAGGAGAAGATTGGGGAAAACTACGTTCGGCGGTTAATCCTATTTTTATGCAACCTCGAGGTCTAAGAATGTATTACGAGCCTTTGTCAAATATCAACAATGAGTTTATTGAACGGTGAGTTTTAAAATCATATATTAAAGATGTAATCTTATAGAAACTTTTCCTAAAGCATCAAAGAAATAAGAGATTCCAAGACATTGGAAGTACCTGAGGACTTTTATGGCGAAATCAGCCGACTAGCTTTTGAATCCTTGGCCTTGGTGGGCTTCGATCGACAAATGGGCTTGATTCGGAAGAATCGTGAAAATCCCGACGCCCTCACCCTCTTCAAAACGACAAGGGAAATCTTTCAGTTGGCCTTCAGCTTGGACTTCCAGCCATCGATGTGGAAGGTTGTTTCTACTCCTGCTTACAGAAGAATGAAGAAAGCCCTGAACGACAGTCTGGATGTGGCCCATAATCTACTGAAGGAGACACAGGATAATATCGAGAAGCGACGCCTGGATGGCGAAAAGATCAATAATAACAGCATGCTAGAGCGTCTGATGGTGATCGACCCAAAAATTGCAGTGATCATGGGACTGGACATTCTCTTTGCTGGCGTGGATGCCACTTCCACCTTGCTCTCTGCAGTGTTTCTGGCGCTGGCCAAACACCCGGAGAAACAGGCCAAGTTGCGGGAGGAGCTGCTGCAGATTATGCCCACCAAGGACACACTCCTGAACGAGGAGAACATGAAAGATATGCCGTATCTCCGAGCAGTTATCAAGGAAACTCTTCGCTATTTCCCGAACGGGCTGGGTACCCTTAGAACCTGCCAATCTGACGTCGTGTTGTCCGGCTATAAAGTCCCCGCAGGCACTACCGTTTTGATGGGAGCCAATGTCCTGATGAAGGATGGAGCTTACTATACGCGCCCTGATGAGTTCCTTCCAGAACGCTGGCTCCGCGATCCCGAAACTGGCAAGAAGATGCAGGTGAGTCCCTTCACCTTCCTGCCTTTCGGATTCGGACCTAGAATGTGCATCGGCAAGAGGTTGGTGGACCTGGAAGTGGAGACGACTGTGGCCAAAATTGTCCGCAATTTTCACTTGGAATTCAACCGGGATGCCAGTCGTCCTTTCAAGACCCTCTTTGTGATGGAGCCCGCCATTCCTTTTCCCTTCAAGTTCACCGATGTCGAGCAATAGAACTATTTAAACATTGTTGCGAAATTAAATTCCTTAATTTAAGAGAACACTGTACATATTGTGTATAATAAACCGACTGTTGTGCTGATAGCTTTGCAATTGATAAGATAATTGTACTTAACCTACCTCTTGAAGTTTGTTATTTATTTGTTGCTCTTTCAATAAGAGATTAGATGAGGTTTGTTTTGTGTTTGGCCACTTTTGTTATTTATTAATGAAGGGAGGAACCACCTTTTGTCGTTACTCTCTTTACTCTTTTTTAAAGAATTGTTATCAGATTACGACTTTGTTTATAAACATTTGCTACAAAATACACAGAAAAATGGCAAATACGTCAAAAAAGTAGCATATGGGAATCTATATCTCAGAATATGGCACATGATGATATCTATATCTTTACCAATAATCATCCAATTGTTGAGTGGAATACCGAATCGAATCGTAGATCGATTCTACATAAATCTGCATCAAAATATGAGAACAAAATATTTTTTAGATTTTTTGTCAAATTTTCTGGGGTATCCCCCTCAAAAAGTACAGAAATGCATGGAGGTACTATGTGGTCCACCGCGATGTCTACATCTTTGCCAATAATCATCGAATTCTTAAGCGGAATACCTTAAACGAAAATTTGATCGATTCTCCATAAAACTGCATTCAAATCTGAGAACAAATTATTTTTTAGATTTTTTGTCAAATTTTCTGGGGTATCCCCCTCAAAAAGTACAGAAATGCATGGAGGCACTATGTGGCCCACCTCGATGTCTATATCTTTGCCATTAATCATCCGATTCTTGAGCGGAATACCTTAAACCAATAGTTGATCGATTTTCCATAAAACTGCATTTAAATCTGAGAACAAAATATTTTTAAGATTTTTTGTCAATTTCTCTGGGGGGGATACCCCAAAAAGTACAAAACTCAAATGCATGTAGGTACAATGTAGCTCATAGCGACGGCTATAACTTTTCCAATAATAACAGATTTTAAATTTAATTTATTTTAACACGGAAGTCGGAATTCTATTTAATTTGTATAGCATAGGCAACATTTCTAAGCAACTCTTGTATGCCACCAAAGACACTTTTAACTTGGCTTAACGTTGGCAGCTTGGCCAGCCAGGTGAGAGTCTGACGTCGAGAGGTTGTCCTTTGCGTTGGCGGAAATATTTTCACCAGGAACCCCAAACGGGAAACGAGAAACACCAACAGCAAGGAGCAGGGAGCTGGGAGCACCAACACCAAGACTTACACCAACAGAAACAACATCATCGGCAGACATACTATATTCGCCTGCGGCTGGCGGAGTTATGCTAACTGGCACTCAAAGCAAAAGCAAAAGCAGTGCCCAAAAGCAAAAACAACGACAAAAGTAAAAGCAAAACGCGACCAAAGCTCAAGCGGTTAGACCTTTTGTTGTTGTTACTGTTGTGGAGTGGCAGCTTGTAACAATAATTTAAGCGATTTTGCGCTTTTTGCGAGTGGGTTAATGGCATGCCCACGTTCTGGAAACCTGGGAACTGGGAACTGGGGATCTCGGTTCTGGGAAGCCTTTACCGTATCCTTTGCCGTGGCGAAAATTCCACTTTTGTAGCTGGTGGTGCTACTGCTACTGCTGCTGCTTTGGCACTGGCAAACGCACATAGCTTATGAATTCCGCAATCCTGGATGCGGTGCAACAGAATGGTGGTAGAAGGAGGCACTCAGGTCCAGTACAAAGTAAAAATGCGGAACATGTGATTGGGTTGGTTGGCCGGTTGCTGCTGCCAGTTATAGGGATGGCTGAAAAACGGGGCTTAAAGTTTTGGCCCGGCCATCTGGCACCGCTTTTATCCATATCTCTTTGTGTCTGTGCTCTATGCTCTATATTAAAATTCAATTTTAAAACACACGCCCCGGACGTATGCGTAATGCGGCATGCAATCATTTGCGTGCGCCTTCGCTTGGAAATTCCTTTGCCATAACTAATCTGGAGAGCTAACCAAGGACCAGGACGACGACCAGGACCAGTCCTGACGTTTCATATTTCTAGCTCGCCACACCATCCACGCTAGCCATCTCTCCCACCCAGCCACTCAACCCTTTTCCTGGCCATTTTCCTGACTTTTCTTTTTCCATAGAACGTATACGTATATAGTCTTTGTATTTTTTTTTGTGAAAAATTTCATACTCATCAAGTTGACAAAGAAAAAGTTTTTCATTATTACATTTCGCTGTCATTTGGGCGCAGAAATAGCTTGGAAAAGTTCTTGGCTCTGCCGCCACTCTGCCCCATACCACTGCCAGGACGTTTCCTTCTGAAACTCGAGTGCAGCGCGTAAATGAGCCACTCCCCCACTCCCATCAGAGGACACCCGCCCGCAGCAGTCAGAGCTCATCATCAGATTTCCCAGAGAAAAACGGCGGGTTGGGGTAAAAATGGTGGAGCGGGAGGGAAAACCGAAGGAAAACCAGCCCAATGCGTAATTTTCTTGGCCTGGCCAGGACGAGTCGTTGTCGCATCCTTGCACATTAATCCATTGGTGCCTGGATCTCGGGCTCAGGATCAGCATCCCTCCCAGTTCTCTGTCCTGGGTCCTGGGTCCTTGCAGCACGCAAATGAGGGTATGGTCAAATCACTCACTGTCAGCCTGTGTCCCAAGGAATGCGTTCAGCATGTCCTTTAATTTTTTCACTCCCTAAGCCCAGTTTGGTTTTTCCTTTTTTTCCGGCACTGAAAGAAACGAGAGAGAGTTTATTGAATATACATATTAAAAATATATGACTTAGCTTAGAAACTTTACCGAATGCTTTTATTTGGAATGTGTAGGACTATCTTGTTTAGTATCCTTTTTAGAGGTTTTTTTTCGTGTGCAGGCTCAAGCAATTTCTATAACTTGACGTTTGCCATGCTACCCCAACCGCCACCCCCACCTCTAGGACGACCCCTTTTGTCCGGCTTGTACTTGTGTTGCTTCGCTTGCCGCTTTGCTGCCTGTCAGCGCAGCTTAAGATAAAAACTTTCCTTTCCACCCAAAAAGGGGCAGGAGCACCAGCAACAACACCATCCCGATGAGAGGGCATAAAAAAAATAATATATATATAAAATAAAATAAAAAAAAATATAAAAAGTGGGGAGGTGGGTGGTGGACTTCTTCGAAAGGGTTGACTCTGACATTTAGCTTTCGCATATTTGCACACACCCCGCGTTTTGCATGCCACCCTTCCACTTGCCCCCTGGACCCTTCCACTCAGTCTACCGTCGACAATATATTTTATAGACTAAGGCGAAGACATGACAAATGCTCAAATAGAAATTCTTCAACAAGATTCTTGGCCGAAACTTAAGTTCATTTTTTTGGTCGTTCGGCTGGCATTGGGGCTTTGTTAGTGAGATGCCAGAAAGAATTCAAATTAAATTGCGATTGCGATTGCTCTCGGCCTGGCTTTCACTTCGATTTCTGTGTGTTTGGCTGACACAACCTGTCAATGAATATCGCATTTGTTTGGCAGGAAGTTTAAGGACTTGTTTGATTTTTTTTGTTAGATAATTATAGACATTAAAACTATTTCCAATTAGTAGGAATCTACTGACACAATTCAAAGCCTACAACTGAGCGTCCAGCCAGCTCTCAGATGTTTCTGAATTGCATCCTGCAGTTCCCTTTCGCCTCCCCCCTGCCCTCCACAAACCAATTTCATTCATCAGGCCAAAAGCACACGCATGGCCAAAATTGCACCAACACCAATACAGTGCATCCCTCTCCCTCCTCCTAGTCCCCAAAAACCACCCACACAACTCACTCACCCATTCATATATTTTATGTTTTGTTTACATTGCCGGCTTGCGCAGGAACAACAAAAACACCAGCAACAACAAGGAGGGAAAAGCGTTAGGGAATCCTCTGTGATGACGTCACAGAGTGCGTGCTATAAAAACGGGATATAAGAGAATTGTTATACGAAAGAGAAGTTCCTTGGGAAACAGGATGAACGATTCGAGTGAGCAATTAAGGAAGGAACTCGCAATTTGGCTGCTCATTTCGAGCGTTTTGCGGTGAGTTGAAGCTTCCGCAAAAATGGCCGAGAGAGTGGGGAAACCGGAAGAGACAAAGAGAGCCAAACCGAGAGAGAGTGCGGTAGTGTGTGTGTTCCGATGTGGCAGCAACGTCATCGGGACAGCATCAACAAGCTTACTGGCTGGCTGGCTGGCTGGCGCAAACGTCATTATCGTCGAGGACTCGCTTTTAGCGGCAGGAGCGACAAAAGTTGTCGCTTTGGCGAAACAGAAACGAGTCAACGCTCGAGTATAGCGGTCGGGTCATTGAGCTGTGTGCTGCACTTTGTCGGCTAACACACACACACACACACTCGCGTGCACACTTGACGGCACTCACACACACAGGCGAACACGTGCGGAAGAGAAGCAGAAGCAGAAACTATTGCATACCACCAGGCGCAGCAGTCCTTTGTGCTTTGTGTTTGTGATATTTTCAAGTGGTTTCATGAAATACCAAAAACTAAACTAGAACCTAGAACTCGATATCAAAAATTAAATAACAATCTGAAAAGCCGGAAAATTGGGAAAATGCTTTAAAGTCCTACACAGTCATGTTCAAGCCAAGCGTAAGTGCCATGTTTTATGTTTAGACGTTTTGTTCTGTTTTTGCCGGCTTGTCGCGGCTCTCTCTCTCGCTCTCTTAGCCGGTGCTCTTGAGCTCTCGTTTGGGCCAACTCGCCTGCGCTAATAAAAAAATAAAAATAAAAAACCGAAAAAGAGCGCCAAGAGCAAGACTTAACGTAGTAAGCGGCGTAGTTCAAGTGCCGGTTGTACTACGCGGGGTCATCGTGTGTGAAGGGGAATGAGGTGGGTTGGTAAGGAGCAGGGTGGCAGCAGCTATAGCTTTCAGCCAACTTACCTTACCAAATATTCCGATAGCGCGCTCTCATATCATTAAAATTCCATTTTGTCTCGTCGGAGACTTTTCTCTTGCTCCAAAAGCAGCATTTTTGCTTTAAATATATATATCCATATATATATTTTTTCGTGCCAGCGACTATCTTTGTTGTGGCATTGTTGTTATGGCGTTGGCTGCACTGTATCGCCCAGACTCGACTTCCGCTGTTGCACGTGTCGCATGTTTCAG